ATTGGGCTAGTATTCCAAAGGTCGTAGGTTCGAATCCCACCGTGGCCGGGCATATTTTTCAAGCTCGCCCGGTGTGGATATAGACTCAGAGTAACACCACAAATATCATATGAATATTATTTAAATAATTCAACTTTATTTTCAAGAAACCCCTGGCCTCCCCCCCTCCCATCTATAATGTCTTGCATATGTCTTAGAATTTAGTGCATTAATGACTGAATGCTGTCATTCTGTGATCAAGTTAAAGGTTAGTGGGGAAAGAAGGTCCCCAGAAAATTTGCAACCTGTGTGAGAGTGTGAGGGGGAAGTGTAAGGGGGAGTTGGGTTGACAGTTTCATTCCATTTTATTACTGACTAGTGCCTCCATCCAACACTGTGTCCGTCACTCATTTGCGGTTCTAGAAACCCTCTAAATATCATCCCATCATACGACCACCGAGCGCCGTAACCCAACTGATTTCGAACTTCAAGAATTTTCACATCATGAGGCAATAGATGGATATTAATCCACACTGCATCCGCTAGGATCTTATCTAAGACTTGATTAGCATGTTCATTTTTATTGCCCTCACTACCAGTCGAGGTGCCCCACCATTGACTTGTTGAATCACGATGACAGTGTTTCGACAACGCCCTAGCTCCGCAAGACAGCTCTGCATTCTGCTTGTGTTTCCTTGTAAACGATTCCCATATTGTCGATAAAGAAGGCGGAAGTATATCCACACTTCCAACCGTCTGTTTCATTCCGAGCAAATCTAAAATACCTCTCAGTTTAAGATTCTCTAAAATTTCTAAAATTAACCCTTTTCTAGTGCAAATTTCGTCACTGAGTAAGTATTCCTTTAGTTTTTGGTCCACAAAATCACGAGACATTTGTTTTTCTGTTTTATTTCTACATTCTTCAAGCAATTCAGGGGTTCTTGTGTCACATTTTCCATTTTTTAACCAATCGTAAAGAATTCTTGAAATTTTGGTATACAACGGGTAAGCTGGATAACTGTTTATACCGGAAGTAATTTTACATTGAGGAATTTGTTCATTTTTCAACGTTTCTGACGGTTTACGTTCGTTTTCCTTTCTCAAAAGACCGTCAACAGTTTCCATAGCTAAAATACAGCCCGAATATTCCTTCAAAACTTCGTAAACCAACTTCGAAAACAGAGTATACTCGTTTTTTACGCTTCCCAAAACGGCCATTTTGATACTTTTTGTCTTTTTGTTTACAAAATATAACTTTCCCATCCGCGAAAAAATGGCGCGAAACTCGAGTTCCTTTAAAAAATAAATTTTACTTTAAAATGGTAAATTTTATGTTTAAATTATGTAGAAATAAATAAAACTGAGAAGTTACTTATACAATGAAGACCTAAAGAGTTTTGCTTTAAAATTTTTTTTGTGTTAAAATTCAGTCACAGAATAAGGATTCAGTGGTTATTACGTAACTTCTTTTGAGCGATGGAAAATAGCATTGTTGTAAAAATGTAAATAAAAGCAGAGACAAGCAGACACAGTAAAAGGCCAACTATGAACAAAGACAAATTCAAGAATTTTAAAAATCCACATTCCTTTCCAATATATTATTTAAATGTAGCTGAACGTTAAAAAATAGTATGAAAGCGGTCCGGGTTTGGTTGTTTTGTGTAGTTGGGTTTCTTGCAAAACTAAACACTGAAGTTTCTGCGAAAAATTTGGTCGTTGCAACGTATAACTTATGGAATGTTATGTTTCAGTGGGATTCAAGAAAATATTACATAGCTGATATGGTAAGGAACAGCTTGATCTGTGTAAATATTACTTGAAAGTTTAGTTCTGTACGCAATCAAATATACAATTTTGAGGTCAGATAAAATTAGTACAGTTAATTTGTTACAAATTTTCAGTTTGTAATTGATACATTTGGGCAAGAGAATGTTAGTTAATTATTAAAATCGCATGGCGGTTAAATATTTACTTTGACTAAGAAAGCTTTTTTGTGAAGTGATGGTAGGAAAAAATGCCAAATGCAGTTCGGAAGTTCTAAAATTAAACTCGGCAATTAGAAAATGATCCCATTTTGACCCTATCAAACACCACAGGGTTTCTCTAAGTTTTCTCCCATATTCAATAAGCATAGGTCACAATCTCTCTCCTCCGTAGAGCTTTCCTAGCTTTTTAACAAGGCAAAGCTTTGATATCATAACATTACAGTCTAGTGCCTCTATCTCTCGCCAATCGCCTCATCTGTGTCTTATAATATCAAAGCTTCGCATTGTTATAAAAGCCAGGAAAGCTCTGCGGAGGAGAGAGGGTCACAATGGTTAGTTAGTACATGTCTTTCACTGGCCTGCAAGCAGGCTCTCCAGGCGGTCTCGTGCCTCTATAACTCTATTACCTGCATGGCTTCTTACAATACGAAGTTACTACATACTTTTTCATTATAAATAAATTTCTAATTTCACCTTATATTGCATGTGAGTTAAGAATGGATGAGTTTCTCCAAATATTTTGGTGTTCTCTCCTGTTCCGAACCTAAGGCAAGACGGTTAATCAATAAACTGGACAAAACCGATGTTTTTGAAAACTGATTCAATTAAAGCAAAAGAAACACACAAAAAAACAAAGACTTCTGAAAAAAAACTGTTTGAAACTCTGTAATATTGAAACAGTTAAAATGGCAGTAATTCCACATATTTGTGCAAAATTGCTAAGCATTGAAGCTAAGCGGATCACACACGTGATTAGTTCAACAGCAAGCGGATGCCTGCAAAGCTTATTTTGACAAAGTTATAATAATCGTGTTTTTTTAGATGTTTTTTACCCTGAACCAGCTCGCCCTATCTGAACCTCAAGGTCCTTACTGCATCTTGAGGGAAAACAGTTTGGATGAAACTGATAGAAGTATCCAGTTAAATATTAACTCATAATAAGTTGCATTGCACCTCAATACTATTATTTTACTCTGTCTAACACCAGATGATTTTACCTGTGAAGGGTTTCCCCCTGTAATATAATTGAAAGACAATGGATGTTATGTAATATCCAGTTTGAATAGAGTTAGTCTAATTTACAATTACTTTAGATTTTTCTCTGTAGTATACCGACCCATTGAGTGCCAACGCTATCCTCTTGATGAGTGAAATCATCTGGCATTAGACAGAGTAAAATAATAAAGTAGCCAGGGTGCATTGCAACTCAATGGTGCAACTCAATAGATTTACCCTAAATGGGGAGAATAACTGAATAGTCACAAATTAAAACTGTGATCAGCCACTTATCGTTGTTGTTCCATACGATTGTACACTTAGATTCATCAAGCAAATCCAGATATCATTGGTTTTCAAGAAGCCCGAGCTGATGCCAACGGCAAGCGGAACCAACTAAAACAACTGCAAACCCTTCTTCCTGAATACAAATACCATGTTTTCCACTCGACAAGAACTGTTGACAAAAACAAATTTGGCAAAAATGCCATCAAGGGCTGGGAGCAGGAGGGATTAGGAATACTAAGCAAGTATTCAATCGTGATGTCCCACCATATACCGCTCTCGAAAGCTGGGGAATCCGACGAAAGCCCACGAGTGTTACTGCACATACAAATAGAATACGAACACCATGAGATTTTCTTTATGGTCGTACATTTCTCAACCAATAAGAAACTTCAATGTCAAAATGCCATGAGGTTAATAAATTTCGTTTCGTCAACCGGTGCTGATAGGACTGTGATTGTGGGTGATTTTAATACATACTCGGACTATGAGTGGCCAGTCGCGGCCGTTCTCAATGGATTCTTCTTACCGAATGGATGTCCTAAGCCTGTAGGGTTTGAACCGGTCGGTGCCGAGCAAGGTTATGGTTTTGACGATTCGTGGCCCATGACAAATTTGGATAAAAAAGGTGGATTAACATTTAGTAATATGGTAAGTTTATCGAGATTCAGATACTTAGTTACATTCCACATAAATGGTATCATGGAAGATAAATAGAGCGGTTCAAATTTTGAATTTCACTACCAGTACTGCAACATTTACAATGAACGCATTTATTCTACCTGACTGACACTAGTGGAAGTCAAATCTGAACAGGGTCTTAGCTAGAAGGCCGTGTTGGCCGTGTTATCGCGGCCAAAAATGTAAAAACACGGCTAGATGAAATGAACGCGGCTTCATTATTTAGTTTTGGCCGTGCATGTAGGTTCATAAAATAAGGTGTTGCTACTTACAACATACATAATTTCTTTGTAAAATATACTGTAGTTGTTGAAATTGGTAAAAGTGACCCTTGATGTTTTAATGTTTTCATGGATAATTATGGGCACCGTAGTGTTGTTAAAATGGTTTTAAATGCCCCATAAGTTGCTAAAATACTGTAATTTATTATAATGTCAGTGCGAAATATGAGCGTATCCTCGCCTTGTATTTGGTTGAAAAGCATAGAACAACCACATGTATAGTCTATTGTTGACAAGCATAACTGGAATCGTGTTTTTGGCTATTCAAGGCAATTGACATGGGCACACCCTGGAAATTTAGAAACACGCCCAAACTATAAAATGCTAGCTAAGACCCTGGTGGGAGGGGGTAAGCTCCAAACTAACCCTCCTATCGCAGCCGTTGCTCCGTGATCAGATACGAGCCATTAGTTGGTGCCAGAGGCGGACTCAGACTCGATCAGGTTGAGCTGCGAACTTTGTAATACATGCTTCAGGAAAGTATGTCACGCACAAGAAAACGAGGCTCTCCAGTCAAACTGACATACTTTCCGGACGGTTGTAATCGATTTGGCTCTCAGTTGCAAGTATAAAGATGATTAGCACACAACCCCACTTTAATATTTACCTTCTTTTTCCGTTTCTCTTTCTTTTTCTTTTTCTTATCTCCATCTTCGTGTTTTTTCTATGATCAAATAGTGAATACATTTCAGGAGAAGACGCAGAAAATGATATACAGTATGTGGAAAAATAAAGATATAGAAATTGGCCGATTTCTATTCCGCAATCAGGCAGACGAATTTCATTAACTCGAAAGGTCGGTGCCAGTCTAGGTAGAACGATAACTAGCTGTCTGACAATTCCCATTATAGACTAATTTTTTTATCTCGGCAAAAAATATATATTCCCGGAAAGAGCATACTAAAATGAATAAAATTGCAAAGTTTGGTTGCGAAATGTTGTAAAATGCAGAAAATATAGCCTTGCCAAGTTTGCAAATTTTGCGTACTTTTGTGTTGCGTGCGGAAATTGCTACCACATTTGGGCCGAAAATGTTAGCAGTTTCCGCATGCAATACAAAAGCATACAAAATTTGCAAACTTTTCAATGCTATATTTTCCGCATTTTACAACATTTCGCAACCAAACTTTGCAATTTTACTCATTTTAGTATGCTCTTTCTAGCTGTGGTGGTTTATTTGCATCTCCTTGCCTCGAAGACCCCTCGTGGGGAAGTTAGTAGCTCATGTAATTTTCCCAATCCGCGCAAACATAACTTCCCGACGAAGGGCCATTTTCCAGGAAGTTGTATCTCTCCCAATCTGCACCTGTCGTGTTATTATCGTAGTTCGTTTGCAATCCTCGTTGTTTTCATGAATCCGCAAAAATTTTCAAGCATGTGGAGGATCTGAGATTGAAATAAAAGTTCTACGACTGTCGTCATTTGTTTTCGCAACAGGGACCGCCGACAGTCGCAACAAAACAATTTTTGCCTGGGACAGTCGCGGATTAATTAAGGTAGACGGTTTTCATTAGTTCTTGAAAATGTCTGCTCGCCGACGATCATAGATTCGACATCGGTAAATAATTGATCATCTGACAACCATGGCAACCAATCAGGTTTCAGATCACTCCACTCGACAGTTACAGTCCTTCACAAATGGAATATTACGGATTTCTTGGATTCGGTCATATCTCTCAAACAGAAACCAAAAATGCTTTGTAAACGGCATTTTCACTGTTTTGTCTCGCTCTCGCACAATAAAATTTGGTGTCCAAGAAGGTCTTCGTCAACGATCACGCCTGAATTTGACTGATCGGAATGAATGGCTCGGAGCTGATCTGCTTAGTTTAAATTAAACACCATAAATTAAACACCATCAAGACTGAATATATGTTGATAGGCTCGGCACCCATGACCCATGCAAAATAAATTAACTAACCGCCGAGCCTGCTTTGTACATTGGAAATACGAGATTGAAAAGAGTTAAATATATGCAAGAAAACTGATGGAGTTACCCTTCATGAAAATCTGAGACAATATGCAAAAAATTCAAAAAGGGATTTGGAGTGCTAGAAAAATCGCCAATTGATTCATTGTTGAAAGTATATTATATAGAGGATATTAGACGGTTGCTAAGAGATATGGATTTATGTTCGAGTGGCAAAAACAATATCTCACAAGTGATATATTGTTTTTGACACGAGAACATAAATCCATATCTTCTCGCAACCGTTTAATGTTCTGTTTATTATATGGACTCCATTATTATACTCAGAGTGACAAAAATACTCACAAAGACGACATGTATAAAATATAAGCAAGCGAAAGACCAGTATAAAAGCGATATTTTTAAAATTATAGAATATAGTGCAAACTTAAAACTAAAAAAAAATTTCACTTATCTAAAGATGTCTTTTAAATGTTTTCGTTTTATTTCCAACGTTAATTTCGTTTTAAATACGAACCAAGGACCATTTGTATTTTCAAAACAACAATGAAAATGGCGGGAAATTTTCATTCGTAGGGGTGAAATACGTCACTCGTAGGGGTGAAATACGAAAAATATGCGCACCTGGTCCCGGATGTAGTGACAGATGAGTTCTACGAGTGTTTTAAGGCCATGTTACACGGTGCAATTTTTCTTGCAACTTGCAATGCAATTCTACTCTTGAGAGATGTTAATTAGTGAAATCAGTGAAGAATTTTCGACATGTTGAGAAAACATCAGCGAGTGTAATGAAGACTCGTATTGCATTGCAAGTTGCAAGAAAAATTGCACCGTGTAACATGGCCTTTAGTTTCCAGTAAAACACCATTGTCCACATAATAAATACCATTATCAGATATTGCAATAATGCGCTCTGGCTATGAAACTAAATCAATGGTGGTTTTAGAAAAACTAAGTTGGCAAACGTTTGAGCACCGTTGATGTTTAAAGTAGTAAACAAAGCTCCACCTTCGTATCTGACATCCCAGTTTTTTAAGAGGGATGGAATGCACGACCAAAACGTGACAAGTAGTTTAAAGTTAGAGATTCCAAAACCAAATACCATTTTTTTAAATAAATAATCTAGCCTATAGTGGGGCAGTTGCCTGGAATTCCTTGGATGACACGACAAAAGCATGCAAAAAATATTGAGATTTTTGTGGCATCTAACTCGAATGAATAATATTTGATTGGTATTGTAGATGGAAATTGTCGAGTGGAAATTTATATACATTTATTAAAATACTCATTACTAATTCATAAACCTTGTGGCAAATTATGTCAGCCATAATACAGGGTTCGTACATGTCAGGAAGAGTCAAATTCAAGGACTTTTCAAGGACATTCAAGGCCGTGTATCAGCAAATTCAAGGACTAAATACTGAAGAAGGCGTTAGAAATCAGCAAAATCTGACGTTGAATTGTTCAAAACGTAACTTTATAATGAGGTCAGATATGAACATGCAAAATCAGTTCAACAAAATGTCCGTCTTGAATGTCAAACAATTTCAGAAAATATCCAAAAACTAAAGCAAAAAGAATTCAAGGACATTCAAGTGCTTCTTTACAAATTCAAGGACATTCAAGGCCTTAAATTTTTGTTTTCAAATTCAAGGACATTCAAGGACTTTCAAGTTTTGTACGAACCCTGATAATATGTCATGTGAAGTGACTTTATATCTGATAAAACTCATCTTCATTAGTATTCTTTATATACTTGTTCATCCTAATTAGTATGATTATATAACTGTTCATCCTAATTAGTATTTTTTTCCTAATTAGTATTCTTCTCGGCTGCGCCTCGCGTTTTATATCTGATAAAACACTCCTCGTGTTTTAAATAGTACTTAGACCTAATCAGGAACTGAAGGGAAAAATGCATGTATATAAATTTTCACTCGACAATTTCCATCTACAATACCCTGCAAAAGATATAACCGGATTCAAAAGCACGATTAAATTAAATGTAAATAGTCGCTCCTGTATAGCCGATTTTCTTACTAAATTCATGGCTTTATGGAATGTGTCTCAGACTCAGTATATTTTCTCTATTACTTTTAATCTATTTTTAACACCCACGGTTCTCAGGAAGACCATGTTGTAATGGTTATCTACTTGTGAGAATCCATGTGGAAAGGAAGTTCACATGCAAGTGCACCCTCGCCTAGGTCTGTTCGGTATACCGAAAATATCGGTATTAAATCAATATCGGTATAATGATACCGGATATTCAACCATACCGATTTTGTCTCAAATAATTTTTTGCTTTATCATGAAAAATAGCACCCCCATGGATTTACTGGGGGGGCGGGCGCACCAGAGGGGTGTACATCGCCCCCCAGTAAATCCATCCCTGAATGATTTAGAATTTCCACTTCAGTGAGATTTTACACTGAGTACGTGTCGTTCGAAACAGCTTCGAAATTATCGTTTCCCTTTTAGAATTACTCAAATTTCCATTAATTAAAGAATTTTCCTTTATAATTATCAAAAGAAAACCGGTATACAGATAATATCGGCATAATTTTTTCGATATACCGATACCGGAAATTTCTCATACCGAACATTCCTACCGGCCTCGCCCAGTCGGAGTGAAAGCTTGCATGGCTTGCGAGTTTAAAATATACGGGAAGAGATACAATGAAGCTTGATTAATTAAAGACAGTATACTTACAGATTTCTTTGATTTCTTTTCCGCTGGTCCATCTTGAATTTTAGATTTTTCTAGAACAAAAAAAAAATGTCATGAGCATATCTGCAGCAGTGAGAGCGCCATGCAGCGACGCTATCTCCATAGACTAGTATAAAAAAGCTAACCCCAAATTTAAAACTTAGTTGCAATAATTTCATATTATTCTGACACTGTAGCGTACAACGAAAAATTCGGGATTCGAACTCGCATCTTCGTTGACAGGGTGGGTTAGGATAAACGCAGTTAAGAAAGTAATATCACAATTGTTGTAAAAATAAAATAATCTAGGCTATGTATGCAATTAGGTAAGCGTATAATACTAGATGTAAAGCGCATTTGATCCTAATTTGATCGTAATGTCAGGGGGAGATAAACGTATCGCCGCGGTTTATTACAAAGGGGAGTCATCACCAGAATTTGTCTGTAATATATGTTGTTCAAAACATATTCCATCAACGCAAAGAAAACAGAAATATTAGCCTGAATATACCCACTATATGTAGTACTGGCTTCAAATCTCCCCGGGACCGGACAAGCAACATATTTCTACGTTGGCACGACAAGTCACCCCCACGGATATCTTATGCTCGATTTACAACCTACAACGCTACCGCGACGATCAACATAGACCAAATACTCAACGTTCTACCTGAGGAAAATGGCGTGCAACCAAACCTGAACAAATATATCCAATGCAACCAACAGACAACCTCCCATTCTTAACGCTATGTACAACACGCAACAACAAACAGAAAATATCATGAATCCCCCTCAGTTAACACCCGATGAAAAAGTGCACTTCATTCCAATATATTGAATCGATTTCAAGCGTTTCAAAGAAACTCCCCAGCCAGCTCCAAGCTCAAGATCGGCTGCAAAAGAAGCTTCAGAATTTGCGAAAAAATCTAATTATAGAGATACGAAAAATCTTAATGTGAGAGCCTCAAACTTGCCAACGGCCCTTGGCAAACTAGGAAACATTGTTGCGGCAAAATTGGGTTTTTTTGCCAATGTTTCGCCGTATTTCCCAGAGTGGGCAAACACTAGGAAACATTAGTGAGAAACATAGGGAAACATCAAATGTTTCTGATATTGGTAGGAAACATTTTTGCTTCCAGGGTAGCAAATTTTGTTTCCGCAACAATGTTTCCACGGGTGGGCAAACATGGAAACATTTCAGGAAACATCGAGAATCACAAATGTTTCCGCAACAATGTTTCCTAGTTTGCCCAAGGCTTTGCAGACGATTCCTTAAGGCAAGTTAATTATCCCTATGCCATATTTTTTAACACCACGTCACTACTTCATAAACCATTCGTCACGAGCCAAAGCCACATTGGTACACAAATGACACGGATGTGGAAGTGAATTTGGATGAAAACAATGATTTAGGGGGTGAGAAATCCCACATGCAGACGAGCCCAAGCAAAGGTTAAAAATAATGCCACAATGTACCTAAGGAATGTTAGAAATAAACCTTACAAAATTAAAACATGGTTGATATACCGGGTTGCCGTGAACAAACTTTAAATCTTTATACATGTACACGTTTAAAACGAAATATAATATTCTTGCAAATAAATATCTGTGTGTTTATGTATTCTGACGCGGTTTCACTAGTTATGTGTGAGTCACAGCGTGAGTCATGCTCATTAATAAATGACATATCATGGTATTGGTTTGTAATACCATGATCTCGACCATGATTCAGTTTCCACTTTCAAAACACACACACAAGTCCTACTTGCAATCACGGGCTTTAACATCAATTCAATTCGACAACAATAGTATTCTATCTAAATAGCAGTTAAAATAAAGTGTACGACACCTGAACTGTGCAATACCAGTGCTTCTAAATCCATAAAACATTTACATATTATATGTAAATACTGTATATTTTCTAAATCCGCCATATTTATTTACATTAGAACCCAAGCTTTCGCGGTTCACACGAAATATTACGTCGGTGATTTATGGGTGATTTTCACTAATAATAAGAGGGTAAGATCATCCGATTATTTCATCGTTCGAAGCGAGTGGAAACCGTGCTTCATATATGGTACAAACGTGTCCCCAACTTCCTTATATGGCACAAACGTGTTCCCAGAATATTTTGTCGAGGCCGTTATGACATCATAACATTCCTCGCCCTCGGAACGATTTGAACAGGTCACGTGGTACAGAACCCAGACAGCTGATTGGGTTAGCAAGTGACAACGCCCACTTTGATCCTACCCTCTTATTATTAGTGAAAATCACCGACGTAATATTTCGTGTGAGCCGCAAAAGCTTGGGTTCTAATGTCAGTAAATATGGCGAATTTTGAAAATTTACAGTATTTAGATATTATGTAAATGTTTTATGGATTTAGAAGCACTTTCAAGCAAGATAATAGTGAGTTTGGCAACCTAGAACGGCAACGGCAAAAATATAATTGCTTATATTGCTGTATTTGAGGCAAAATATATGTTACTACACTTAATTGCCTCTTTAAGTATTCCTGTTCCTCTCAAGCAGCTCTTAAGTAAAAATAGTCCGCGAATTCAAATAAAACAACTCAACTAACATCGAACGAATGAACTGTTGCCGTAGTCATGTACCGTGAAAATTATGCAATCACGTACTAGTTTCAACAGCTACGGCATTGCACAACGCTTAAGACCATGTAATTTACATTCGCCTTTGTCTTTGAGGATCAATGCTATTGTTGATGACCACGTTGCCGTTGCCGTTGTATTTTCCAAACTCCCTATTGCACAGTTCGGGACCGGGTGCCGCACACTTTGTTTTAACTGCTATTTAGATAGATAATATTGGTGTGAAATTGAAATGGTCGCAAAGACCGTGTTGCAATCAACGAATTTAAGCCAAAACATTTGCTTCTTTGCTTGTGGGATGTAAAAAACTAGCACATGCGCACTTTTTACGCTTTAATCGGTTACGCATGTGCAATTTACATTCTATTTTATCGAATTGATATCGGCATCTTGATCGGCAACTAGATCGGTCAAACAAACTTAGCCCCCCAACCCTTGTGTAAAAATTTTGTTATCTCCCAAAAGACACGTGACCAGCCTGGACCCAGGGTCTTTCCTTCAGTGAGGAGCATAGTGGAAAGAGCCTTTGTGCAAGGTTGCTAGAATGTATGCATATCTACTATAGTCTGTATTAATGGAATGGATAACATTCGTGAACAAACCAACCTTCCGTTTTGCCTTCACTATGTTCTTTTTTATGTTTCTTGTGTTTGTGTTTCTTTTTTGAAGGTTGTTGATTGACAAATTTAAATTGATCTGGAACCTAAAACAACGAATGTTTCAACAGTTGGCCTGAGGTGGACATTTACTGCACATTTTTTTTTTACATTGTCTATAACAATGTTATAACTCATTATTACTTTAACACAGAAAATATCCAACTTATACTTACTGGTCCAGGGTTTAGTCTAAACCCAGCCAATTGATGACCAGACAGAGGGACTAACTCTTTACCACCAATAGGAGGCTTATTTATAAGAACTCGAAGACTATATTTAAAAAAAAATTATGGTTACATGGTCTGTAGGGTCAAGTTATAATTATTGTGATTGGGCTAAGAACAAAGAAAACTATATTCGTGTCAAAAGTCGTTTGTTATTATTTTTTATGCATGAATATATTTTTCTTCATTCTTGACCTTATCCTCGACACTGTAACATAACAATGTAACATAATTTAGACAACACTGCATCAGTTGGATTATAATGGTCGGCAGTTGGCTTTATTTGCCGGAAAACCCATTAAATGGCTGACTCATTTTATTCTGTGCGGACATTTTGACTGATCATATAAAATACGCAGTTTTCAATCAAATTAAAGGACTGGTATAATATTTGATTAATAAGCATAAGAGCGAGAGAAGGAACACAAAACATTTTCTTGACAAAACAATATCGATGGAATCGAGAACTTGTTTACTTGCATGGATCGTTGGGACTGCTTACAAAAAATTAAGTGATGTGGTTGATTATGCGGGGAGTGATCAGCACGAACTGTCCAATTACTACCTCGTCAACTGATGTAAATATTAAAAACTGGCTAATCATTATTGGCCAATATATGAGCAACTGCACAATTTCGATCAAAAAAATGATCGGACATTTGTCAGATCCAAGCAAAATTTAACTGATCGGTGTGGATCGTAACAATTTTGCCTGGATCTAACAAATGTCCGAAGACCATTGACTGAAGAAAAACTATCAAGCCCCTAATCAAACTATAGTTTTATTTGCCTTTCATACTTCTTAAAGAACTCATTAAGAAGTATGAAAGGCAAATAAAACTATAGTTTGATTAGGGACTTGATAGTTTTTCTTCAGTCAATGGGTGAACAAAATAATTAGTTTGCTCAACAAAGAGCGACAGTGATCATCCTTTGAATGCAGAGAGAAGTTAACAGATTACATTATTACCCATCGTTTGGACATCCAGGGACATCTATAAGCCCTAAATTGCAAAATTATACATTAATTAATAATTAAATTAATGAAGTGATGCCATATAATAATTTATTTAGTGAATGTTAAATTACCTGGAAGATGAGTAAGAAATGAACTCAAACTTTCCTTTGTCTTCTTTCCAAAGAATTTTTGATATGAATGTTCCATGCCGTGTTCAACTAATAGATTGGAGCTGCCGGTTACCTGCTTTTCATCTTCTACTGAAAAATGAACATAACCTTACCAAGTGTAGCCGTGTGAGAAAACAATTAAGAAACAGCTTTAAAGACTGGAACTTAGTCAGCGGTTATGTTGTAGAAACGGGCTCAGTAATATAGTCTAGCGCTTTTTAAAAACGATAAGACAACGAACACATGTTTTGTAAACGTTTTATTAAAATTACTCCTTTAAAAGTGAATAAAATGTAAAACAAAAAGAACTCGGAGTAACATTTGGAGGTCCCACCGAGACAATGGAAGGTAATATGTAGAAAAATCGATGTTTGGGCGAGAAAATACACGAGATTTATGATACTTTATATACGTGAGTTATTGACAAATTGTGGATATTGGATATATATGTATATAAAAGTTTAATACAAGTTCTACAACGGGAAGTTGGACGATTTACTGTTGAAAAATGTCAGAAGATTTGATTATAGAGCTTCAGTCTCGTATGCTGGGCTTAAAACGAATGGAATTAGCCCGATTTGGAGAAGAAATGAAATGGATAAAGGTAGAAGAAATCGGAGAAAAGGGTAGGTTGGAACTGATTAAAATTATACGTACAGTATTTGAAGAAGAAGTACTTAAGTGTAATAGCGAGCAGCTTGACAGTCTATTGGGAAAAATACAAACTATTTTAGACAGCAAAACAATGAGTCAAAATGAGGAAAGCGTGAAAGCAAAAGAAAAGAGTGAACAGGAACTGAAACAGCTCAAAACACAGTATGAAAAGTTACTAGTAGAGCAGGAAAAACTCAAAGATCAAATAAATACTGTCCAAACCCAAAATGAAACAACTGAGGACATAACTATAACTAGTGAATCAGTAACACAACAAGATAAGCCACAAAGTGCATTTCTTAACATGAAAACAAGCATGCTCCGTCGGGAATTCAAGATACAAGGACAAATCGGAGAGCCAGGGCATAAAGATAAACTAGCATATCAGTCACTCATTTCACAGATTGAAATTGGGTTGCAAAAGGGTTACACAAGAGGAAATTACCCATGCTGTTGTTAGAGCTGTTCAGGCTGGGTTACAACTACGAAGTTATTTGGAGGGAATAAATGGGTTGACATTACCACGATTACGTAAAATACTACGCTATCATTTCCAAGAGAAAAGTGCTACCGAACTCTACCAGCTCTTGGCTAATATCAGTCAAGCCCCAAAAGAAAGATCACAAGAATTTTTAATTCGTGCCCTGACGATTCGGCAAAAAATAGTGTTTGCATCAAAAGAATCGGATACCAAGATCAAATATGATGAAGGGCTTGTCCAAGGCCTATTCTTGCATGCCCTAGAAACTGGCCTTGCCGATGAAACCATTCGGGCAAAAATGAGGCCACTCCTTAAGAACGAATCAGTGGCTGATGAAGAGCTAATTGAAGTAATGAGCTCTGCGATGGCTGCTGAATCAGAAAGAGCCACGACGTTCAACCAGGTGGGCCGAGTAAAGTCCTCACCAAAAGTCTCGAAGATAGAAACCGGAGTGCCACCAAGATCTACAGAGTCACCAAATGCACATGATAGTGAGATACTGGTCACACTAAAAGTGATCCAGGCAGAATTGAATACAGTTCAGTCCGAGGTGGCTAGCTTGCGGACGAAAGTAGACCAGAAAGATTCCCCTCAAGGACACCCCCCTTCCAGTACCTTCATGACGGGTCGTGTTGGTCAAAACCGAAGAAATGATGGCCGTCAAGGTGATTACCCTCCAATGTGTAAAAAATGCCACGAAGAGAATCAAGTTAATTGTCCTCATTGTTTCAAATGTGGAGGAAGAAACCACACTGCCCGATATTGCAGGTCGGGAAACGAGAGGAGGCTACCCCTGAGGGACTAGGAGTAGCCGCGTCAAACCAGAATAAGTCCCACCGATGCAATGGTTGTAACCAAGAGGAAGTTCACGCTAACTTTAAACGTTGTTCTGGCTGCAAACTGGTGTATTATTGCTCAAAATCATGTCAAAAAAGACATTGAAGTGAACATCAAATACTTTGCAATGCCATTAAGGAACAACTAAATCAAAACAATGAAACTCTCAGAGGACTGGGAGATAGTTCAGACACAGAAATGTTTGCAAGTCACCTTTCTCCAAAGAAACATGCTGCAATTGCTAAACTTGTTGGTCGCAAATGCTCTGTTCGGTGTCTTGTAAATGATGTTGATATGGAAGCGTTATGGGACACTGGAGCCCAGGTCTCCATTTTCCCGGAACAGGTACTGTCTGACAATTTTTCTGATTTGAAAATACGTGATATTAGTGAATTGCTTGGTGCGGGTTCTGGTCTGAATTTAACTGCGGCAAATGGGACACCAATCCCTTATAAAGGCTGGGTGGAAGCTAGATTTAGATTAAACCGAGAAGATGAAAAAGAAGTAACAGTACCATTCTTAGTAACACCCGAACAGTTGGAACAACCAATAATTGGGTACAATGTTATTGAACTGTTTTTGCAAGAAGGTGAAAACTACTCAGATAATTTAGCAGTGGCACACCATATAGTGTCAAGTTTTAATAATGTTGGAGTGAAAGATGCTGAGCAATTGATAAACATTATCCAAAGAAATGATGGGGAGTTGTTTTGCCAAGTAAAAACATCCAAACGTCACATTACAATACCGAAGAAAGCTACCAAAACAGTACCCTGTCGAGCAAATACGGGAACGATTGAGAATACAAGACCAGTGCTTTTTGAACCTGATGAAAAACAAGAGTGCCCCCCCCCCCGGATTAATAGTTCATGAAACCTTAACATCTGTGAAAAAGGGAAAATCAACAATCATGCAAGTGCAAGTGACAAACGATACAATGCATGACATCGTACTACCTGGACGGACTGTTTTGGGAAGCCTTGAACTTATTCGTTCTGTTACACCAATTGAGGTGAAATTAAAGGAAAATGTAGATGAGAAAAGAGCTGATATGAATTATGGAATGGAGAGACAGGGGACTAGTCAAACTAAGGACCCTTGCCATTCAGCTGTAAATTCTGAGAAAGAACAATTCATACCGGAAGTCGATTTAAGTACTCTCACACCCGAACAGCAAACTTTGGTAAAAAAAATGTTGTATGAGGAGCGAGATACTTTTTCGATCGACGATGACGACATTGGGTGCATCAAGGACTTGAAAATGGAGATAAATATTACGGACAGACAACCGGTTCAGAAAAATTACGTGTCCATTCCACGTCCAATTTACCCGGAAGTGAAACACTATCTGGAAGACCTACTGAACAAAAACTTTATCAGACGATCGAAATCACCTTACTCTAGCAGCGTGGTGTGCGTCAGGAAGAAGGATGGAACCATGAGACTATGTGTCGACTACCGGGCACTGAATAAAAAGACCATTCAAGACAGACACCCCATCCCCAGGATACAAGAAACCTTAGATAACCTAGGGGGAAACTCCTGGTTCAGTACATTAAATCAAGGCAAAGCGTATCATCAAGGCTTTGTCAGCCCAGATATGTCAACCATTCACAGCATTTGTGACGCCGTGGGGGCTTTACGAGTGGGTACGCATCCCATTCGGACTAACGAACGCGCCAGCTAGTTTCCAACGGTTCATGGAAGGATGCTTAGGGGATTTACGTGACCAGATATGTATTCCCTATCTCGACGATATTATTATATTTTCCAAATCATTCGAAGAGCATGTTGAACACGTACGTCTAGTTCTGCAGAAACTGCAACAACATGGTGTTAAACTGAAGCCAGGAAAATGCAGGTTATTCAAGCGTCAAGTATCGTTTCTTGGGAGAATAGTATCAGAAAAGGGGTATAACATTGATCCAAAAGCAACCGAAGCTGTTACCCTGTTAAAGAGCAAAATACCGCGGACTGTCGGAGAGGTTCGAAGAGTAATTGGGTTGTTAGGAGTATACCGACGTCACATCAAAGATTTTTCGAAGATTGCTAAACCCATCTATGAGCTGTTGGAAGGGAAAGTGAACACTAATCAGAACTCCAGGAAGAATGGGCAACTGCCATCG